CCGGATCGGTTCTATGGCCCGGTTCACCCAGCGCCGGGGCGGCCGCTCGGCCCGGTGCCGCACAGCCCGGATCGGTTCTGTGGCCCGGTTCGGCCCGCGCCGGGACGGACCCGCGGCCCGGTGCCGCACAGCCCGGATCGGTTCTATGGCCCGGTTCGGCCGGCGCCGGGGCAGCCGCTCGGCCCGGTTCCGCACAGCCCGGATCGGTTCTATGGCCCGGTTCACCCAGCGCCGGGGCGGCCGCTCGGCCCGGTGCCGCACAGCCCGGATCGGTTCTGTGGCCCGGTTCGGCCAGCGCCGGGACGGCCGCTCGGCCCGGTTCCGTACAGCCCGGATCGGTTCTATGGCCCGGTTCGGCCGGCGCCGGGGCGGCCGCTCGGCGCGGTTCTGCACAGCCCGGATCAGTTCTAGGGCCCGGTTCGGCCCGCGCCAGGACGGCCGCTCGGCCCGGTTCTGCACAGCCAGGAGCAGTTCTGTGGCCCGGTTCAGCCCGCACTGAGGCAGCCGCCCGGCCCGGTTCTGCACAGCCCAGATCAGTTCTATGGCCCGGTTTGGCCGGCGCTGGGGCGGCCGCTCGGCCCGGTTCCGCACAGCCCAGATCAGTTCTATGGCCCGGTTTGGCCGGCGCCGGGGCGGCCGCTCGGCCCGGTTCCGCACAGCCCGGATCAGTTCTATGGCCCGGTTTGGCCCGCGCCGGGGTGGCCGCTCGGCCCGGTTCCGCACAGCCCGGATCAGTTCTATGGCCTGGTTCAGCCCACTCCGGGACAGCCCCACGGCCCGGTTCCACACAGCCTGGGGGAGCCTCTCGGCCCGGTTCGGCACAGCCCAGGCCGGCCCCTCGGCCCGGTTCCACACAGCCCGAATCAGTTCTATGGCCCGGTTCAGCCCGTGCCGGGGCGGCCGCTCGGCCCGGTTCCGCACAGCCCGGATCAGTTCTGTGGCCCGGTTCAGCCCGCGCCGGGGCAGCCGCTCGGCCCGGTTCTGCACAGCCCGGATCAGTTCTATGGCCCGGTTCGGCCCGCGCCGGGGCAGCCGCCCGGCCCGGTTCCGCACAGCCCGGATCAGTTCTATGGCCCGGTTCAGCCCGCACCGGGGCAGCCGCTCGGCCCGGTTCTGCACAGCCTGGATCAGTTCTATGGCCCGGTTCGGCCCGCGCCGGGGCGGCCGCTCGGCCCGGTTCCACACAGCCTGGGGGAGCCTCTCGGCCCAGTTCGGCACAGCCCAGGCCCGCCCCTCGGCCCGGTTCCACACAGCCCGAATCAGTTCTTTGGCCCGGTTCGGCCCGCACCGGGGTGGCCGCTTGGCCCGGTTCCACACAGCCCGAGCCGGCCCCTCAGCCCAGTTCCACACAGCCCGGATCGGTTCTTTGGCCCGGTTTGGCCCAGCCCGGGGTGGCCCCTCGGCCCAGTTCGGCACAGCCCAGGGCAGCACCTCAGCCCGGTTCCGCACAGCCCAGATCAGTTCTTTGGCACAGTCTGGCACAGTCCAGGGTGACCCCTCAGCCCGGTTCCGCACAGCCCGGGCCGGCCCCTCGGCCCAATTCGACACATTCCGGATGGGTTCTTTGGCACAGTTCTGCCCAGCCCACGCTGGCTTCTCGGCCCGGTTCAGCCCTGCCCGCATCGGTTCTTTGGCACGGTTCGGCCCAGACCGGGGCGACATCTCGGCCCAGTTGAGCCCTGCCCGCACTGGTTCTTTGGCTCAGTTCAGCTTAGCCCGGCCAGCCTGACTCAGTCTGGACCGGTTCTGCGCAGCCCATGCCAGTTTGACGCGTTGCAGACCGGTTCGGACCCGTTGGGCTCCAGCCCGTTCGCCCCTGCTACCTCTGATGTGGCTCCGCTCGGCCCGGTTCTGCTCTGCGGCCCGCAGCAGCTCTGCTTGGCCCGGTTCAGCTGCACTCCGCACAGCTGGGCTCCGTGGCTCTGTTCACTCCGTGGCACGTTTGACTCAGCCCAGACCAGTTTGACTTGGCCCAGACCAGTTTGGCTCTTTGGACCCGTTTGACTGTGCTCAATTTGGCCCTGCTCCATCTGATCCAGGTCTGCTCAGCCCGCGGTGGCTCCGCTTTGACTCACTTTGACTCGGCCTGGATCGCTTGGACTCAGCCTGGCCCAGTTCAGTTCTTTGGACAAGCTTGGCGTGACCCAGCCCGGCTTGACCCAGCCTAACTCAGCCCAGACCAGCTCAGCTCTTCAAGCCCATTCAGCTCAGCCTGGTTCAGGTCCTGGGCCGGCTTCGGCTTCACTCAGCCCGACTTGGGCTCTGCCCATGACCATCAACTGCCCTTGGCTGGTCTGGGACCACCAGAACTTGCCTGGTTCGGTTCTTCAGCCGGGTCCGGCCTGGCCCAGCCTGGTTGCTGGATTTGCAACGTCTCACATTTGATCTCCGCTCTCGCTGCCACATTCATTTGGAAGGTGCTAAGCTATTTCTCCCGGGAATCCTGTGCGTCCCCGTGCAACCTTGCTGCTATTGTGCACGTGCTGCTGAATGCTGAGCGGTGCTTTTCCAGCCGTGCCGCCGGCGCAGGGGCTCTCGCGAGCAGCGCTTCAGAAAGGCGCGACTTTTCTGAATGAACCGGCTCTGCGAGGTGCCGTGGCTGCTCGTGCGTCCCGGTGTTTGCGCACAGAGCTGCTGCCGGCGCGGGGAGCGGCGTTCTCCAGCATCACGGCACCTGGAATTAATGAGCCGGCGGTGGCGGGGGCGCTTCAGGCGGCCGCTGCTGCATGCTAATGATTCGCACGCGTTGCTTTGGCAGGAAAACTCTGTTTCATCGGTTTGGGGGAGCCTGCTTGCGTTGGGGCTCAAAGCGGCCTTGGTCAAGCGCGGTTAGAGCTTTGGCTCATTTTGGGCGAAAAGCAGTGGAATCCGAAGGGGCGAAGTGGAGCAGGGCATTTATCGCAGGCCTGCTGTGCGGCCGTTAGCTTCGCGTGCGCTGGCCTCTAAACCAGCTCTTCTTGAGCTGAACCCTTCCATGCTCTCGACTTAGGAAGCTAGGCACGGATCCTGGGACCGCGTTGAGTGTGCGGGATTAAATGACTGTCCCACTGAGTCACTCGGTGCCTGTGAGCAGGGACTGGAATCCTGAATCACTCCTGCAATCGCCTTCCCGCCGTGATCCTGATGGGAGCAGCAGCCGTGCATTGAAAGCAGGGATAACGTCCGTGTTTTTCCCGTTAGAACGGCTCAGGGATTCAGGGCTGCAGAATGACCTGGACCATTGGCAGCCAGTCTGAAAGCTCTCGGCCTTGGCCCGTTTCCGTAGGTTGTGGAGCTTGGAAATGCAGAGCGGTTCTCTGCAGGATGGGGGCTTTGCTGTGTGGATTGGAGGATTGTCACCAGTATTGCTGTCAGCAGCCGGGGAAGAGGAACTGGAGCGATCCGAGGAGCGCCGTGCAGGAGGAATCTGGTTTTGTTACTGCTGCGTTGGTGACGCGCGTTCCCGTCCACCTTCGCCCCAAACAAAAGCCGGGTTTCTTGAACCTCACTGGTTGCAAGGAAACGGGGGGTTCTCAAAAGCCTGGCTTCCCTCTTGGGCTCTCCGATGTCCCCTTGCCACTCAACAGAAAGTGATTTACAGCCCTCCTGACACCATGGTTTGGTGTTTCCTTTGTGTGCTCAACTTCCTTTTGATACAGAGAGGAGATAAGAAGCCCAGAGCGTAATCTCGCAGGCGCATGACAGGGGCCTTTGCGGGCACTCTGCTCCCCAGAGCCGCCGACCTGGCCGCGCACAGCAGCTTTTCTGGACGTGCCCTAGAGCCGGGCGCCCCGTGAGCACCGGCCAAGCAGCAGCTGCTTGTCTACTTTCTAACTCGTTTCCTGTCTTTTTCTCTTTTCAGAGGAATGCTTAGGAGGAGAAGCTGCTTGGGAGGAGCGTTTGCACCCAAACGTTGGAACAGATGCACCAGGAATCCCTGGATCTGACATAAGAGGGCTTGGGAAAAGTCTGAGCTTCCTGGCTGGAAGGTAGGATGCGTTTTGGGCTCTCTGGTCTCTGCTCGTGGCCACTTCGAGGTCTGAGAAGAGGCTACTTCAGGTAGCCCTAAAAATGGGAAAAACATGGGGCCTTTTCCTCCCTTTCTTAGGAAGCAGCTGATTTAGGCCCAGCCTTTACAGGGCCTTGCAGCAACCTAGTCATGTTGCTGTACTCAAGCTTTATAAAAGCTACGGAGAACTGCTCCCTTCTGAACACGGAGACCCCCGTTAGCACAGGGCTCTCTGGGGAGCCCCAGTGTAAACCGCTCTGTGGGGCACTTGCCAGAACCCCTTCTCTTGGGCTGACCCGCGTTTCTCACCCAGCCTCTCACGTTGGCTGCAGGGTCCCAGGTAAGCGGCTGAGGAGATAAACCAGCACATTTACCTGGCCCAGCCTGGCCACGGCAGAAACCAGCACGCAGATATGGGCAGAAAAGACCTTCTCTTTCCAAAGGGTAACAGTCCACCAACAGCTCTCCAAGCTGATATTATATTTTATATAAGCTTATATTTTCCCTTGTGTTGACATCCTTACAAAAACTCCATCTCGGCAAGTCTAGCCCATGCGGATGGCCCAGCTTAGGAGCACACTGGGAGGACTCGGAGGTGACAGCTAAAGCT